TGTGTGTGTGTGTGTGTGTGTGTGTGTGTGTGTGTGTGTGTGTGTGTGTGTGTGTGTGTGTGTGTGTGTATTTATCATTCTAAATATGGTTTAGCTAAATATGCTGAAAAGTAGCTGAGATACAGGTAGTGTACTAAGGAATCCCTTCCTCGGATTCAGAGAGCGGACAGAGAGAAATATTGCTAAGAAATTTTAGGATTTGTAAACTGAAGAAGTTTTTCTCTCAGTTACATTTCTTTCTGATCAAGTGAAAAAGTGAAATAATTTGAATGGAAATCGGTGACATACACATTTTGAACTTGCAAAGAACAATATTACCAAAATCTCTGCAATCTACCGCGTAAAATTTCATAAAATTTCAGCTGTGACGATTTATCACTACACGTAAAAATGCACCGTGGTACTTTAACACAGTGTACTACTACTGATTTGACTATGAAGACACGCTTTAACTGATGTTTTTGAACAGTTTTCTTTTTGTTATATACTGTTAATGGTTAATGGGAATAAAGCGAATAAATTTTGAGATGGAATTTCAAAAACAACTTCAATGAGAGAGGTGTTTTATTTTCATGTCAATGACAGACAACGGCGTTGCAAGATGACACATATCTTTTATTATTCACTCTTTTTTCTTTGTTTATTGTTTACCGCTTTTCTGCCTGTTTACTGATCAAAGGATAATACGGATAGCAAAGTTGTAGTTAATTTGTTGATGTAAAGATAAATGAAATAAGTCCAATTTTAAACATTCATTCAACTAACCTGTAGCTGTTTGCTGAAAACTGATTTTCCTCCATTGAAAATGATTGTAATCATGACAATTTGTCGTTAGTTATTACTCTTATGAATTTGAGAATCTAAGCGGTTGTTCATAATAATCTTAACCACTTGCTGAAACGAGCTGGTATCTATAAATTGAAATTTATTTTTCTCATGAGTATGTGTAACCTTCGTGATATTTACTTCTTCAAGTTCTTCTTTGTCATTGAAATCATGTTCCCCTTGTGACCAGTTAAATTTTTTTTCTTTTAGTCATGATGGTCCACACCACCATGGTTCAAAGGATCTAAGTTTTTCGGGAAGAAATCCTCTTGTAACCACGTCTACTGCATTATGTTCTGATGGGATATGCCGAAAAACGAACTTTGTTTTTTTGTTTCCTCGACTCAGTTTGAAATAAATCTTGGTAACAATCAGGATAGTTTTTTTACCCAATGTAATGTACCTTTGGGAATCTGACCATAAAGTCACCTTTATATCTTCAGGGTCCAGCTGTGTCGTTACGAATTGTACAGCACGTACTCCGATGATTTTTGCGAATAATTCTAGTCGAGGTATAGACTAGATATAGGACCTTTTGATAGGAACAAGGCGAGATTTGGCAAAGACCAGAAATAATTTCCGTTCATGTATACATTGACTTAGCACATATACTGCTGCTGAATACGCTAAACTTGATGCGTCCTTAAAAACATGAATTTCGATTATATTTGAAAGATTTGCGACAATGGGAAACGATAATGCCTTACAGTTATTGGCCATTTATTGATAAAGAACTGTTGGTTTTCGTCGTCTACAACTTGATCTCCTTATTCTTCTTCCAACGATTTTGAAGAAATAATTTAAATCTTTTCATTGTGCAGACCAAGAAACCGAATGGATCATACTGTGAAGCGACGAATTGCAGGATCGTCCTTTTAGTTAATTCTTTTCCAACCCATGGTTCCAATGTTATTTGGATGACGTCTTGATTGGATTCCATGTGACACCAAGGATTTTTCTTTGGTTCGTTTTTGCTCGATCAGGTATTTTTCCATGGAAGTCTTCATCGTTAGAAAGAAATTCTCTCATGTTCATAGAAGCTTCATTAAGAATAGATTTCATCTCGTCGTATTAGCAGAGCTTCTTCTGTTCCATCGATAATATTATAACATTGTCCACGTAGAGATTTTCTGTTTTACTACCTTGATTTTCAGGATGATAATTGAGGGTAGCTGATAGTAAGAAGGGTGTGATATAATTGCAAAGAGTACCACTCTTTCAAAGCTTTTTTTTTAAAACATTTTGTTTTTCCTTCTATTTTAGCTCCTCTAATATCCTTCAGCCAAAGGAGTCTTGTAAGTCTAAAGAATGTAGTTCTAGCTGTAAAAACGCTTCCTCAATATCGGTTGTTATCACCCCTTTCATCATTCGGAAACGTAACAATACTACGAGATCTGAAAGTATGAACCGTCCTCTCTATAATACATCATTTAAACTCTTAGTTCTCTTTAAATACGTTAAAACATCATACACAATTCTTAGCTTGGCTGTAGATTCAAAATATCATGATGTGGCAGATAATGTATGACACCAGATGACGCATGACACCAACGTTGTCGCGACTTTCGAATATCTCGAAGCTCCAAATAGAATAAAATAATAAAATAAACTAATGTACAAATCAAAATAAACATGCACAAATTGTAAATAAACGTTAACAATGTTATGAATCGTTTAACCAATTTCACATTCTTCAGATTCACTGTCTCATGCGTTTTTCTTTGCATCTCGATCTTGATCTAATTAAATTCACATCTGAGAAACAATCGTCTTACAGTCCTTATACTGTAGTCGGATTTTGACAGTTTTTTTTTATCCAAGAGAACATCTGTTGTAATGTTTGTTATAAACCATTCCCACCAAATATGTTCTTTGTATTAATCAAAATTGTATATATACTCGACTACTACTAGAATGACATTGTTTTTCAAACACTCAACCAAAGACTGTACCTACACTATATCCTCGATTCTCCCCAATAAATATTTTTATTACTATGCCTTCTTACAACCTATTATTCTCCGAGAATAAATAACTTCCTCCTAAACCGAACGAAGAATAACTTTTCAGAATATTCATCTGTGCCTAAGAACCAACCCTTTCAAATCGAACCAGGCAAACAAAAAGTTTTATTTCTATTTTCCTACAAACCTAGTGCATGTGTGATTGCATTTCCTCAATTATGTTGGAGCTCAACTGATTTTGGATGATTCCGTCATATTGTTAAAGTTCCCCTTTGTGGGATTGTCGTCCAATTAAGTTTCGCAGACGGCCGAAACACAATCCATAGTTATTGCTCAATTTGATTACAGATTCCTTCCATAGTCAACGTACTTGGTATCTTCCATTATGTTTGGTAATACCCTTTCTAAATTATTCTAATGCTTGTTCATCATCTTGAGCATTGGGCCGTTCCTGAATACCTATACATTCCAATTTCCAGAATTGGTCTATAACAGGAACGCGATTTGCACTGGCAATATTTGTTGCTTTGGAAGTTAGACAGTGGTAGAGTTTGTATGTATATTTACTTCTGACTATTATAGAGCCTATTTTTGTATGAAGTAGAGTAAATCCTGAGTTCAGTTGTTGAGTTTTCTTTGTTTGAATGAATTTGAAACAATAATCAGCTCCCATAAGTATATCCGGTTATTTTCAATCGCTCTTTAGATTATTTAATTGGTCTTTATTTTTCATGGATAAAATTTCGATTACTTGAAACTCGCCGATCACGTGGTTAATTATGTTGGTCTCGCAGGTTATTGTCTCCCTCCTTCCAGTTCTTATTCCAACTTATGTTTTGGTTAAGAGATATAATTTCGGTTCTTTAATACCGAGGGAAGATTATACGGTTTTCTTGTTCTGGTTTCTCCTAGATCTAGTCGTTCAGCTAATTCCTGAGATATAAAGGTTGCTTGTGTGCCGATGTCAAGAAGCGCCAAAATTTTTTCATGGAGTTTAGTCTTTCTGTATTGAACATGTTAATTTCTTTACATAAAAGCAAAACTTCCTTGCCTTTTAGTTCAGTTATTGTGTTAATGGCAATGTTGCCACTATTTATTGTAACCTTCTTTCCTTCAGCTGGAGAATTTTCTTGTTGCTTGGCTTCTCGATCCTTAATGTCGCATAGAGCACTGTAATGAGGTTTTTTACAGTAGAAGCAACGTGCTAATTTTTTCCAGTCAGTGTCCGTGGCCCTACTCCGCGGCAGTTTAAACATTTATTAGTTTTCCTTAAACACGATCAACTCGCTGATTGAAAGTGGGATAAATGTAACATTCGTTGTCCCAATGACCCTTGTTATAAAATACACAAGATCTTCTTTTTTTACTTGTTGAATTTTTCTTCAGACTATGGTTGACTTCGGTTTATGCTGATTGATTGCAGCTAAAGTCGATGTTTCCTTTCGTGAATCAGGTAATTTTCGATTTGGTTGAGTGATCATTGTCAGCGCAGAAGTTTCTTTCTGTGTAGTTGGGTTGGGGCTGTACTTGACTAGAATTTTCTGGCTTCTAGTACTGGAAGGTTGATTTCTCATCATTTGTTCGTTTCTATTAACTAATTTCCCGAGAAATTGTCGAAGTTTGTAACTGACTATAGTTCACCATCTTCTTTTGTTGTCATATTTTATCCAGTAGCCATCCAAGTGCTTTAGTTTCTATAGAGACTTCAATGCTAGTATGCTCTAGGTTTTCGCTTATATTGCCTCAACAGTTGATTTCCACTCCCAGTCATTTCGTTGTGTAGAACTTAGCTCGTGACAGCGCGATTTTTTTACAATATACGAATTTCCAAATTGTTCTAATGATATTTCTCTTACAACTTTATAGTTTTCCGGTACTCTACCATAGCCTGCTATTGCTTGTTGGGGATTTCCCTTTAAACAGGACATTAAATAGTTTAATTTTTGGATGTCTGGAATCTCTTGAGAGTGCACTTCAGCACTGAAACTGCTCCAGAATTCCCTCCAGCCTTTAGAGTCACCACTTAACCTGGGCAATGGCAACTATGTAGATTTACCAGTGGTAGGCTACTTGAAGAAGCTCTATCGGTTGAGAGACTCCCTCTGCTGCTTCCTTGTTCAATTCACTTCGGGTTAGACCTTGGAGAGCTAACTCATCGTCGTACATTTCTCATACATAGTTAAAGTTATGACAGCTTCTCCACCATCACTAATTAATTTCAAGATACCTTCATCGTCGTTCGCCATTTTTGTGTATTTCTTCTTTTCTTTTATTTGGAGACGCGATTTGTTGAATATATTACAACCATTTTTCATTGATTGTTTCAAGAACTGTTGAACTATCAATCATGAAAACCCAGAACCGGAAGTTACTTTCCAGGAGTTGGGTTCATGGTTCTATTGCCTCCAAACTCGAAAATCTGCCAACAGGTCATTCCAATCGCATTATCTCCCTACACCTTCTACTACACAACAAGTTGTTCTCTTCAGCATATGTGCCCCAATTCTACAAGCTGACTCTATGTCGGAAAAGCTTACCAAAGCAGCTTTCCCCAGTTTGACTGTGACCCGTAATGATTGGTAAATCCCCTTTGTTGACTTTATGTATATATATCCCTCACAGACATTATAAACCTTTCCCACTTGTTTGATGTATGTGAGGGCTGATATCTTTATTCCGGATCATGCTTCTTTCTCCGTTCGATTCATCGCTTCGACAGTCTACGCTCATTCCGACGCTTTTTTTTGCTCTACTATTTGATTTAACATTGATTATCGTTCCAAATATTTCGTCGCCTAACAAGCTGTTTTATTAAATTCGTCGTTTCGTGGTTACAAGTCAAAGATTCACGCTTTACAGCAGTACTTCATCAAGGGAGGTAAGTCTTTCATTTTCTAGTAATATTTTCAATTCAGTTTTTATAATGTCTTTTTACGACAATTTTCGACACTCTATGGAATAGGTTAAATACCAATACCAACCTATGCTGCCGAAAAAGTTCCTACAAGTAATAAGGCAAAATTCTTAGTGACTTCAACACTGGAGTTGGTAAGAACTCTAAAGCCTGGAAAGGAGTACTAGGCGAACATAGTGTTGGAAATTGCAACGATGACGGACGGCTGTCGCTAGAGTTTTGTGCAGAGCAGCAAATCACTATTATAAACATTATCTTTCAGTAGAAAGACAGCTTGAAGATAGCGTGGATGCATTCTCGATCCAAGCACTGGCATTTCATCGACTATGTTTTAGTGTTCCGAACAGGCGTTCACGATGTTCGTCACATTCATGTGATGCATAGTGCAGATTGTCAAACAGACCACGCCTTGTGCGATGCAAACTTAACCTCCGCTTTAAACCCAAACCTGAGAGAGATGAAATTGAGGGGACTCGAAGTCAACAATCTTCAAATAACTGTAATGAAACACAACTTCCAGGCAAACCTTCAAGCTAAAGTTGAAGACTATTTCACAATTCCA